TATTTATTTATTTATTATTTATTTATAATTGTGTTCATTCATAATACTAAACCATGAGGTTGGGCAACCCAAGACCCATGGGCCACATGCTACCTCCTTTGGCCCTCAAAGGCCTGTTCCAAATACTAGGCACCAAAGAAGTAACACATTTTACCACATAATTTTTTCCATCAAAAATGGGAAGGCCTTTGCATTGAAAATCAAAGGTAATCTGTGGGTTGCTGCTGCTTACCTTGGTTATTTTTGTTTGTATTTCAGTTGTCAAAGAAATTAGATGGTACACTTGGTGTTCTTGTCATGCTTGGTACCAGCAGAGTGATTATACATTGTCTTTCCATATATTATATGCATTATTTTCTGTTTTCAGATCTTCACAAAAGTTTTTGTACAGCTACATTGGTTTTCTTTGATTATATTTTTCTTATTACAGTCTGCAATTGTGCTTTTAGTATCCTCCCCTTTTTTAAAGTCTCCCCACCCACCTTGACTTCCTTTTCTATTAGCTTCACCTGTCATGAGAACCTATTTGCCATTCTATGAATTTATTCAAATGTATTTACTTATTTTATTTATTACCCATTAGATTTATATCCTGCCCTTCATTCAAGAGCATGGGTAGTGATGCCCATTTTCTTGAAGTCCAATATATATGTTTGAAACTTGTTGTGCAGAGTGCAGCAATACTTCCAGGAAAGTTGCCCAGGAAAAATACACATCAGCATGAGAAATTTACAAAATGCAATGTCCATATCTTGTTCTCCAAAGAAATCCAGCCAGAAAATATATACTAACTGGTGTTTATTGATAAAAAATACAAAACCCCATAAAATACAAGTTTCATACAAAATATAGGAAAAAAACACGTCTTCTCATGTATTTTAGCATCCAAGACTTATCTGCTACACAAGCTTAACAAAGTCTCTAGCCAAAAACTCTCAGCGTCTTCTCATGTATTTTAGCATCCAAGACTTATCTGCTACACAAGCTTAACAAAGTCTCTAGCCAAAAACTCTCAGAGAAGAGGTACACTACTTGGTTATTAGTTACAACTACATAACCCATAAAAACTGACTACATGGTGGCTAAAACTCTACTGAGAGGCTGGGCATGTAATCCTCCCCTTATATCGCCAGTATGTACCCCCCCACTGGGTAACTAACATACACACGCCAATAGGTGGCAATAAATAGCAGTATACGTGCAAACTAAAACCCTAAACTAAGTCACATGCTTTGCTTGGCCATAACCAACTGTTTTGCAGATAATGAGATGAAACCTTCCCATGAGAAAATCCTAGCTTCAGTTTCTATTAACATCAATAACTGCAGCATTACAAAGTAATTTTCTCTCATTGTTTCTCACCTGTGACTTCCCTATTAGTTAGTAACAAATTAAGGATAACTGATATTCTTCTGCCTTTCTCCAGTATCTCTGAAGGTGAAAACTGTCAGAGAAACAAGTCAGGAATTTCTGGAGGGAACTTCCCTATTCTGGAGGGAACTTCCCTATTTGTGTAATTTCAGCTGAAATTAAACAATCAGCTGAACAAACAAGTAAATAAGTTATACAATTGTGGCCTGCAGGCCTATACGTATATCTTTACTAACCCTTTGCACAACCCCTCACTTGAAACCTACAGGTAGTCCTTACTTAACCACCATTGGGACTGGAATTGCTGTTGCTAAGCAATGGAGTCGTAAAGGGAGATGTCACATGACCGCATTGCTTAGCGACTGCAATCCCGGCACTCCCAGTTGCCATTGTTAACCAAGAATCATGAGTCGTTAAGTGGAGCAGGTCCCAGGTAAAATGCACGGGGGTGCTGAAGGGAGGTGGAGGAGGCCCGGCACAGCCACACACAAATTGGGGGGAGTGCTGCAGTGTGGCACAAAGCCATAGTCATCCCTGGAAGCTGCTGCACCCCAGGAGCCTCAGCCAGCCCAGCCCAGCCCAGCAGCACTTACGACTGCAGGGACACTGCAACTCCCCACACCCACCTATCTCTTCCCATCTATGCCCTTTTGGCCACCTTGCACAGTGATACTTGGTGGCAGCAGCGCCAGGGCTGGGGCTGAAGTAAAGGCCTGGGGCCTTCAGCAGTCTCAGCCAATTGCCACTATTCCCAGGTCTCGACTTCAGCCCCAGCACTGCCGTTGCCACTGAGAAATGCCACCTTGAGCCCCATACCGCAGCCAGCCACCCCAGCACCATAGCACAAAACCCTGCTGTCCCAGCTGCCCTACACTTCACTGTTGACCCCCCGCCACCCTGTGCTCCACTACCTTTTCTGCCCCTACCACCTTGTACTCTGCTCCACCCTGCACCCCACTCCCCTGTGCTGCACCACCCCTGCCACCCATAGCTGACCTTCACTGTCTTCTTCCTCCCATTGTTGATGAGGTGCGGCTGGCCTGGCCCTTTGTGAGGCAGCTGCTGGCCATGTGAGGCCTTCTTCCTGAAGCTGTGTGCAGCCTTTCCAGCAGCAGGACAAAGAAGACAGTTGGGGCAGCAGGGGCAGTGGAGCACAGCACCGCAGAGTAGCAAGGGCAGCAGGAGTGCTGGGCAACGGGGGCAGCAGGGGTGGTGGAGTGCAGGACAGCAGGGGTGGCAGAGTGCAGGGTGACGGGTGCAGCGTGGCAGGGGTGGCAGAGTGCAGGGCGGTGGGGGTGTAGGGTGGAGTGCAGGGTGGCAGGGGTGGCAGAGTGCAGGGCAGCCAAAACAGCAGAGAAGGGTAGGAGATAGGCAGATGGGGAGGGTTGAAGGGGAGACGAGTGCAGCAGGGCAGGAGAAGTGTGGGGTCCTCACCTAATGATGGCGCAGCCTTGGCCTAATGACTACAACTGAGACTACTGAAAGTGTCTTCACTAAGCAGTGCAGTCACTTGATGTTTCACCTAAAGACTGTGAAATTCCGGTCCCAATTAGGGTCATTAAGCAAGGACTGTTGATCAATTTCTTTACTGAATGTTAACTACATTCAGTAAATGTTTACTAGAATATTAGCTGAATGTCTAAGGAACTGCATTCCAGAAGGCCTTTGCACAGCTTCATTGGGTGTACCAGTTGCTCCCCTTTCTAAAGTGGGAGGCTTTTCAGATAGTCACTTGTGCCCTGGTCACTTCACAGTTTGACTACTTCAATGTGCTCTACATGGAGCTGCCCTTGAAGACCACCTAGAAGCTTTAACTGCTCCAGAATGCAGTGACATGAGCAGTGGTGAGCATGCCTTGGTATGCCAATGTTACGCCCCTTCTTTATGAGCTGCATTGGTTGCCAGTTTGCTTCCATGTGCAATTCAAGGTACTAGATGTTACCTATAAAGTCCTACATGGCATAGGGCCTGTGTAATGAGTAAAGAGGATGTCAGAGTCAAGATTGCTGAAACTGAAGACCCCATGCTTCCTTTTAACCTCCCTCTCTGCTTTCAAGTCTCAGTCATTTTCGCGCCTTTCTTCAGATCTCTTCTTTGTCTCATGCCTGCCTGACCTTGTAAAACCTGATAACATGCTATCTGTCTCCACTGTCTACCTAACCCTCTCCCCTCCTTGTTTTATGGCAGGAACGAGCAAGCAGCTTGTATAAACTAACAATTCTAATAAAATAACACTTCTAGTATATGGCCGGAATAAGCAAACATTCTAACTAGGTTAACAGCTGTAATAACTCTATTAGTTGGATCCCATTGACGATTGATTGTGAGGATCCTGACAGAGGATGAACTTGAAGGACAGAGGGAAGATCCGCTACCAAGGCAACAATCAGATAAATGAGACTTGAGCCCAGGCCAAGAAAATGGTGTATGAAAATGCCTCAGACAAGATCCCTCTTAATTCACATGAAGATAAAAGAGGGAGGAAGGAAAGTACATCCAGACTTGCAAGATTCTTGTACTATAGCTGTTTTAATAAAAGTAGCTTTAGGTCTGCACAGTGTCTTTTTCTTAGTCTGGTCTACCTTATAGGGCTGACATCAATCTGGAATCATATACCAACTAAGATAAATTTTATATTTCAAATGGTGCCAATTTTAACCCCAGATAAAATCCTGCAAGTTTGGCAAAGAACAGTCAATTGATTTATATGGAGTAGGAAAAAACCAAGAGTAAAATTCAAAATTTCGCAGGATTCAAAAGACAGAGGTTGACTTGCTTTCTCAAATCTCAAATTATATTACCATGCAGGCTGTCTGTTATGGATAACCAAATGGATAAAATCCCCCCCCCAAAAAGCTGGCCAAGCTAATAGACTTAATAGGTATTTATGGTATAAGAAAATAAAAGAGGAGAAACATTTGAATGGACATATCAAAAGACAAAGTCTAATAAAAACAGGGAATTCTATAAAAACAGTAAGTTCAGCAATTTCATCACTAGCTTCACCTTTAAATGCTTTTTATTCTGTGGATGATTACAGCAAGAAAACTAATTACTTATGCAGGTAGGTAATTTTAATTCCAGAATTGTGGAGTCCTTGGGGTTCTCTGAGCTTGGTTCTTTTCTTGCAAACGTTTCATTACCCGGCT